GAATGCCAGTACAGGCACAGTGCCTGTTATGTACTGGCACCAATGCTTCACAGAATGCTAGTACAGGCACAGTGCCTGTAGCGTACAGGCAACAGTGCTTCACAGAATGCCAGTACAGGCACAGTGCCTGTTACGTACAGGCAACAATGCTTCACAGAATGCCAGTACAGGCACAGTGCCTGTTATGTATAGGCAACAATTCTTCACAGAATGCCAGTACAGGCACAGTGCCTGTTACGTACAGGCAACAATGCTTCACAGAATGCCAGTACAGGCACAGTGCCTGTTATGTATAGGCAACAATGCTTCACAGAATGCCAGTACAGGCACAGTGCCTGTTACGTGTAGGCAACAATGCGTCACAGAATGCCAGTACAGGCACAGTGCCTGTTACGTATAGGCAACGGTGTTTCAGAGACTGTGATCATTACTTATAGACAGCAATGAGTAGACAGACCGCCATCAGACGAGGATACAAGTATGACTCATTTACAGACACCCCCCACCATCCACCCCACCCCACACCCCACACCCCACACATACACCTGTTTTGTCGTATGATCGAGGTTGTTCTCTGGCGTTGACGTCAAGGTTACATTAGAATGTTGTTGTTTCAGGTCCATCAAAATTTGGGACCTGAGGACTCTTCACTCTCAAGTATCAGTTAAATCATTTGATACAGAAATGTCACAGCCATTTTCAAATCTTAATTTTCTTGATGCATAGAGTGAGTGAGTGAGTTGGGTTTAACGCCGCTTTAACAGTATTCCAGTTATATCACGGCGTGTCAGCTTAATGTAGGAGGAAAGCCCGAAGTGATGCAAGTCTCAGACGTTTACCACTTCGGTGAAACCCACGAGCACGGGTATGGTGCTGACAAACCTAGAAACATAATCGGGGCGAACCGGGATTCGAACCTACAATCATAGGTTTCTGGCGTGCCCAAGTGACGCAACTCTGCACAGCGAATCGCGGCGCCTTAGACGACTGGGCCACCCGTGCCCCCTCTTGATGCATAGAAGAGAATGGATTTCAATAAAGATATAACATTGTCATCTTTCAAGAATATGGATTTTGTATAGATTTGTTTTTTTTACATTTGCTAATGTGTGACTATAATTATTGGAACGTACAATATGTAGGAGGAGGTTCATTATTTATTTGTGGATGAAGTGACGGGGGTGCCATGCCAACAGGATTTCCCAGCAATGACTCATAATGATCTTCATTAATAAAATGCAATAGTGGAACTTCGTCTTTCAGTATTTATCTGTACTATGACTGTGCTCGTGTGGCCCACAGGGCTGAGGCAGTATACTGTGTTGTGCAATGTTGCGTGTTAAGGGTTTCACTATTCAAGAATCTACGATTCGCCCTTAGGCTTCGTGTTTGTCAGCGCCAAAACCATGCGCGTGGGTTTCACCAAACACATACCACTGTTGTTGCTTGCAACTGTCCTCCCACATTAAGCTAAAATGACGTTAGTTTCCTCTTGTAGTGAAGCCATTTGAATTTGCGGTCGTTTGATGTCCTTTTGCGTTATGGAGACATAATTGTATTTATTGAATATTTAGGTTCACGTGATATGTTGAATCAAGTAGGCTTATGACCATCCTATCACTTAACAAAACACGCGAACTTAGATTTTGCCGAGAATATAAATCTCAAGTATGTAGAAACCAGTCGACGTATTCGGGCACCTAAATAGACCCGTGAAGATCCGGGGTAGAATAGGTCTTCAGCAACCTATGCTTGCTGTAAAAGGCCACTATGCGTTCGCAAGAGACGACTTACGGCATCGGGTGGTCAGGCTAGTTGACTTGATCGATGCATGTCATCGTATCCCAATTGCGTGGATCGATAATCATGATATCAATCACTGGCATCTTTCCGTGACCTCGTTTGACTCAGCTGATGACCTGATAACGTTGGATTTGATCGTTGTGCCTTGATATGTATTGTGTGCGGCTGTACAGCAACAATAGCATAGATAAGGGGTTCTACGCCAACTGATATAAAAGGAGACACAATGGATCTGACCCGTGTAGATTCCGGGGTAGAATAGGTCTTCAGCAACCCATGCTTGCCGTAAAAGGCGACTATGCTTGTCGTAAAAGGCGATTAACGGGATCGGGTGGTCAGGTTCGCTGACCTGGTTGATGCATGCCATCGATCCCAATTGCGTGGGCCGATGCTCATGATATCAATCACTGGATTGTCTGGTCCAGACTCGAATATTTTACAGACCGCCGTCATATATCTGGAATATTGCTGAGTGCGTTTTAAAACAACAAACAAACAAACAAACTAAAGTGTCATCATACAACATACGATCAACCAACAGCGAGCCTGACCACCCAAAACCCGTTAGTCGCCTCTTACGACAAGCACAGTCGCCTTTTACGACAAGCATGGGTAGCTGAAGACCTATTCTACCCCGGATCTTCACGGGTAAGATAACATGTAATACATAAAAGAATATATAACGGCGGACCTTAGTATCTTGAACATATGAACATCGACAATTTGCAAAACGGTCTTTGTTTTCTGGAATATATAAACAATTGAATATCGACATTTCTCAGGATGGTATTCTTTATACTAGAAGATAAGATAGCTACGCGATAACTAAGAACAAGTAGGAACGAAGCGTCGTCGGGTAGCCTAGTGGTTAAGGCGTTCGCTCGTCACGCCGAAGACCCAGGTTCGATTCCCGACATGGGCACGTGTGAAGCCCACTTCTGGTGTCTCCCGCCGTGATATTGCTGGAATATTGCTAAAAGCGGCGTTAAACCATACTCACTCTTACAATAAAACATTGTTCTATTATGACGTCATTTCTGGATATTCGTACATGCGCTCGCAACTTGATGACGTCGTAAATTGGACGATGTTATTTTCGAGGGAAGTGTCCAGTGAGTTGTTCCCCATAGATGTAGCTCGGCAACGTAGATCAACGCATAGGCCGAACTATCGCATTCATAAGTGGGCGAGATATGACAATCGGTATTGGGAAAAAAGGTTCAGATAATCGAATTGTAAATTGTGCGAATATCTGGGCAATACCAAACGTAATCCCCTGTTAATAGAATGGGAGTCATCATTATTTAAAAACGGGTAAATGTTTTCAAAGCGTTAACATTTTTTTGACATCATTTAATAGGCTGTATAAAATGTTGATATTAAAATAAGAAATAAACGACTCGTGGTCGTTGTTTATCGTACAATAACACACTGGCGGGAGATCAAACCACTCGGGGGTGCGCCGGAAACAATGCGAATGGAACTAAACATGACATGCAAAACACATTCCATCAATAGAAAACGATTTGTTGAAAACTAAACTTCGTCTCAATGTTGAAATGTTCATGCTGCATGTTTCAAACGGCTGTATTCCGTGTGAGGGTCACGTGTAGCCTTCAAATGTTCACACTTGTTAATTCATATAGTACTATGACACCTCCTTGGGTATTCTTCTTGAGTATTTGAATAATTGAAAAAGGATATTTTGTAGGGCGATAACCTTTATAATAGAAAATGATAGCTAGTGAGGATTCCGGTTTAGAATAGGCCCTCAGTATTATATGCTGGTCGAAAGAAGGGCCTAAATTAATCTCGTGGTCAACCTCGGTGGCTTGGTTGATGTCGTGCCATCGTGCACCAACGGCGTGGGTGGATGTTCACAATCACTGGTTTGTCTGGTCCAAATTCGATTATTGAGACATAGCTGCATTACTGAAACAAACACATTAATAGTCATCAAAAAGATATTTTGATAAAGGCGAAGGTATAAATATTGAATGGATTTTATCGTTTATGTTATTGTTTAAGTCTAGGTCTTCCATATGCAAGGTATATTAGACTTAGACTGAAACAATAACGCAAACCATATAATACAATGAATACTTGTACCCTCGGCCTAATCTATTAAACCGGCATAAATCTGGACTAGTACACGCTGTCACTAAAGCACGCACGCGCACATGCATGCACGTGGTTATACAAGTAGAATAATCTTGACTTATCAGACTCAATCATTTAAAGGTTACCGTCATAGACCTGGATGTTTGCGCAGTACAGTACAGCAAACATACAAATGCATTCAGTCCTGTTTCATAATTCATCCATACAGTACTGTCCCTGTTGAATAAGTGTGTGAATTGTGTACTCCAAAATCATAAATAATACAACAGTATCGGGACGTGCGTTATTTAGTTATGGCCTGTTGAGAGTCGTACGTGGTACGAATTGAAAGTGCTAGCCAATCAACAATACCGTATTCGACTAGCTGGAACGTGTCTTTCCGAGCAGATGCTGAGAGCAACATGCACGCTTTTAATGTTGCGGGTAACCACAAAAGCAAAACGGGGCTACAGGCGTCCGTCAGTTCTTTTAGACCGCCTCCGTGGCCTAGTGGTAGAGCGTCCGCCCGGAGAGCGAAAGGTCCGGGGTTCGATCCCCGGTCGCGTCATACCAAAAGACGTTAAAAGATGGTACTTGTTGTTACCCTGTCTGGCGCTCGACATTAAGGGGCTAAAACAAGGACTGGTCGGCTCGGAGTCAGTATACTGACAATATTATGGTATATTGTTTGTTTTGTTTATTTATTTGTTGTTTTACGCCGCTCTCAGGAATATTCCAGCTATATGACGACGGTCTGTAAATAATCGAGCCTGACAAGCATAGTCACCGATTCCGGCAAGCATGGGTTGCTGAAGACCTATTCTCTTCCCGGATCTTCACGGGTTCATGTTTGAAGTAACCCTACCTTTTGCTTCAGTGGACAACATCGCTGAAGCTCACATCAGACTGGGTTTAGCAGAAATTCGTATTGGGATTGGCAGAACAGTGGGTGGTTCGAGACTGAAGCCTATTCTCAAAATGCTGACGAGACATACTCTTATGACGGATAGGCTGCACTGCCGCCCAAGGTCTTTGTGACATTCACTCGGTAATCGACTTCATCTCAGTCGTTGTGTCATACTGAACAAGGCATAGTAGTGCTACCTTTTTATTCACATGAGTGTTTATACAGACAATGACGCGTGATCTCGGGCTTCGTACTCTGTGTCGGTTAATCCTCATCCTTGGAGTTCTTCTGAAAAAGAAAGAAATGGCTATCAGTTCGAAAGGTGAGTAGGCACAGATTGATAGGTTCTTCTCCTTATTTACAAGCGAACGTGGCAAAAATTAGACTGCTGTGATCATAAACATATTAATAATAAATTAAAATAATATATTGCACTGCATTCACCCATAGGTTTTGCTCTGGTGTTGTAGTATTACTGCGGTCAACAGTTATTTTATTTATACCGTTGGGTATTGTCACTGAACAGGACCCAATCATTCCATGCTGGTCATAACAGCCAACGTAAATAAGACATCGGGTGGGAAGAATGTGTACCGTGAGTCATCATATTCTAATGACTGGGATATTTGCTCATGATATCAGTCATATCTGTGCATTTTACAAGTACGATTATTAGCAGGCTGTAGCTGGATACTCGCAACAGGAACCTTGTTGCATGTACCATATGGTAATATGACGAAATCACCAATATTACCAGGGTGGTTTGAATATTTACCTCTATATTTCAGTCTGTTAGTATTCTGAAGAAATGACAAAGCAGCTGTCACTAGAGTAGGATGTCTAAGCATTCTGTAATACTACCTGTCTCACATAGGCTTTAATGTGTCGCAATAATAATTTGCATTCAGGTTTTACCCAAATGTGAAGCTAATAATCATGCTGAAAATAATTTGTTGTGGGTCACAAGAACAGATTTTGACTCTTTCAGTGAACAAACATGTCTTGGTGTGCTGACTAAAAATATATCTGTCAAGAAACGAAACTTCCAAGTTCCCACAACCCAGAACGTTAAATCGTCGGTCTTAAAGACATAATACTTAGCGATCGTGTTTGTTGTCCAACCATATTGCCAAACATACGAACGTTATCTCTACAAAATGTACATATATGTTTCTGTCATCGCGAAATAATCCTTCTCACAAACTCTGTTCACTCTGAATTATGCTTATCATTAACACTGACCACTCAGACAATTTTTTATCACAAATACTGATTACTCAGAATAATGCTTATCACAAACACTGTTAACTCTTAATAATGCTTATCACAAACACTGTTAACCCTGAATAATGCTTATCACAAACACTGTTAACTCTGAATAATGCTGATCACAAACACTGTTAACTCTGAATAATGCATATCTCTCTTACGGTCATGTATTCATGTCATCACAATCAATGTGGTTCTATTGTGACTGTAAGATGTTTCGATTTTCAATCATCAAGGATAAGGTATCAAATAGGAAACACAAATTCTACTCTTTGTTATAATTTTCATTCTGTCAAACCTATTTATTCAAATTTATTTAATAGTTTAATTCGCAAAACAACATATCAGATTCTTGCCAAATGTGGTAATATCAGTGATATATCATTTAGCTACTATTTCAAGAATGAATCATTTCCTCTTAACCCTGTGGGTACCGATTCCAACATCTGAACTTGGGACCTTTAATTTTAAAAGGGTGTTGTGCATTTGTGTTTAGCTTTAACACATCACACGACACCTTGCCTCGATGAAAGGCTGAACATACCCAGATGCCTCTCTATAATAGAACCCATGAAAGATAAATAGATATATTTTTACTTACATTGAGTGACTATAACATCTGAAAAGATAAAATTGATGTTATGAAAACACGGAGCATATTAATTAGGTTGTTTGATTTTGTTAGCATATTGCCACAAGTCTAAAGAATAATCAGCCTGACACAGATCTATCAATAGATTATCACCAAGTACACATCTTGGTTTTTAATTGGTTTGTATGTTTAGCCCAAGCAAATGTGTTTATGTTGACTGAATCAAACCTGTGTAAACATTAACATTTTGCAATTTCCATGTTAATGCATTTAACATAACAGAAGAGAACGCACAAACACATCACGTACAGAGCAAATAACTTCTTTCTCTAACTTTTGTGGTACAGTAGCCTAATGATAAAAGAATTCCTCGTCAGGCTGAAAGCTCACCTTTGATCCCCTTTTTTGTTTTGTCAGTCTGAGGATCTAATTATTCATAAGATCAGTTTGGCATTTTCACCTGAAACCCAGTTCTTTATTACATATATGCATGGCAAAACCGTTGTACCCTTGTTACACGCGTTGCATGTGTCATCTAATATTTATACATTCGGGCCCAAACCACTTGGACACTACAAACCTATATTGTTGTTGTGTTATAGGTATATCAAAGCATTATACACACGTTTTAGTTTTAAAAGGACGAATTACTTACTGGTACAGCACACCTGCTGTCCAATTGGACACTGTCTTCCAGGTAGAACTGCTATGGGAGGACATCTGTTAGGCAAAACACACGAGCACGCTGAAAGGAGCATTTTCATAAAAGACAATTCATTATGTTGAAGCTAAATGGGAAGTATAATCTCAATATATCGCTTTAACTGAAAAACAAGTGAATTTAAACCAAACTGATTCAAACTACATTACATATTGCAGAATAAAATGTACTGCTCAGTGTTTTGATCAATACAATTGAAATACCCCCGCTGTTCGAGCGAAATTAGTTATACCAGGGTTTGGAGGTTCCATGGTATTACCTTACCAACATCTACGATTATGAGGGAATAACCGAAAGATATTCAACATTTCCTTTTTGAAGATCCGCGAACCATATGTGGGTGGAAACATATTAACAAGGTAAGATGATGTTTGAGGGACGAACATACATATGTGTTCTATTTCTTCCCTGTTAACAACTGACAACTGGTAGTCTAGATCACGTACTTTGAGTACCCACCTGACAAGTGTAAATTGGTAGTCTAGATCATTTTTGTTGAAGCCTCGGTGGCTGAGTGGGTTAGATCGCTGACTTTGTGTGCTGGCGATTAGGTGCCTCATTAGTTACATTTGACCACTTTCTAAATGGCATTGGGTATTCATAGCTTTCGGCCATGGGAGCCGTGCCAATTTACACTTGTCAGGTGGGTACTCAAAGTACGTGATCTAGACTACCAGTTGTCAGACTTTCATTTTTGTGGAAGCCTCGGTGGCTGAGTGGGTTAGATCGCTGACTTTGTGTGCAGGCGATTAAGTGCCTCACCCTGGCAGGTGTGGGTTCGAATCCCGGACGGGACTCAACCCCAAAAAGTACTAGAATCTGTACTTTACTAAGAAAGTGTTATCCCAAATATTACATTAGTTGCTGTCAGTTGTTTGCATGGTTTGTAATTGATGTGTGTCATACGTTAGCTGTTATTTCTGTTTCATTATCATTTCCCTATTTTATTTGAAGATAAAGGATAGTACTTGTTGTTTCCCTGTCTGGCGCTCGGCCTTAAGGGCCTAAACTGAGGAGTGGTCGGCTCGGCTCGGCTCGGCTCGTTTAACTGCTGCATGGTATCTCAGTAGGCTCGTACCATAAACTCGTCATTGGCGGGACTAGTACAAGCAGCCACACATACACACACGCTATATATAAATGCAATAAGTTTGGACGCGACGTTACATTGGGAATTACATTTGACAAGATTTTTGTCACAGATGCGTCAAATTTGTAAATGTCTTCCAAATGCCTGCCATAAAAATAACTGTTGAAAGTTTAGTAAGACCTGCGTGTTTAACCCTGATAAACAGCGTTGAACAAGAGTCGTATATATATTGTGCTCATTGAAATCCTTGTAGAAAGAACATGCTTGACTGTAAAGACCGGACCTGCTGGAATATTGATTGACAGTTGACATCATCGCTCTTCGAAGCGGTGTCTCTGGTCTCTATATTACCATTTCAAGTGGGTTAGTCAGTGGGGATTTGGATATTTGATCTTTATTTACAATATCAGATCATTCATATACCTGCAGCTTATATTATTCTGTAGTGTCCGGCGGTTCAATAAGAGGAAATGGTCCGTATTTTAAGAAGCGGCAGCAGAAGCAAAAAACGTGATGAGGTTCATGCGCTGTAGACATAATTGATGCTTACGAAATAAATCAAATGTTCTGTCAACACAAGAGCGTTGGTGATAGTTTTCAAGAAACAACAAAACATGATAATAGTGAACGGAAACGGACGAACAGGATAAGCAGTTAAACTACATAACAAACAGAAGACAGGAACAGAAGAACAAAAGCTTCGGTGGGGAATCGAGCATAGACTAGCATCCCGTTTTTTCCACAGTTCATTACTGACTCTGAAAAGTAGAATCGGACAGAGATGGAAGCAATATGTAGACAGGTTGAAAAATGAGTTACTGAGCTAAATAACCTTTGTTTTTGTTTGTTTGTTGTTTTAAACATGTCTGTCAATAATCAAGTCTGGACCAGACAATCCAGTAATTGACATCATGAGCATAGATCAATGCAATTGGGACACGGCGACATGCATCAACCAAGTCAGTGAGCCTGACCACCCGATCCCGTTAGTCGCCTCTTACGACAAGCATAATCGCCTTTAACGGCAAACATGGGTTGCTGAAGACCTATTAGAGAGCCCCACTCACTTTTTGTCTTGTTTCTTATATGTTTATGTTGTTCACTTGTTTGTATGTTTCTGCAGATCATTGCTGCTTTATTGGAGTGATTATGCAGGGTATTTCAACACCAGCTGAAGAACAATTTTGATATTGGAGATATATTCCTCAACGACTGAGCCTGTACTCATAAGAGGCACAAAACATTCACGTAGTAATGGCATGATTCAAGATCGTAGGTCGGGGGTATGAAAATAAAAGTTCAAAATATGAAACAAATCATTTTTTTTCCAAAAAATACTTATATCAAACTTTGCACTGCACCTCTCCTATTAGTATAGGAAGTGTTCCTTAAGTTTTAGTGAGTGAGTGAGTGAGTGAGTTGGTGTTAACGCCGCTTTTAACATTATTCCAGTTATATCACGGCGTGTCAGCTTAATGTAGGAGGAAAGCCCGAAGTGATGCAGGTCTCAGACGTTTACCACTTCGGTGAAACCCACGAGCACGGGTATGGTGCTGACAAACCTAGAAACATAATCGGAGCGAACCGGGATTCGAACCCACAATCATGGGTTTCTGGCGTGCCCAAGGGACGCAACTCTGCACAGCGAATCGCGGCGCCTTAGACGACTGGGCCACCCGTGCCCTCTTAAGTTTGAAAAGAATCCAGGGGGTAGTTCTTAGTTTCTAGGTTGCACCAATGTTGAAGTAAAAACATGTAAAAAACATATTTTAATTCTCTCAAAATCCACATATCAAGTAAAACTCAAAAGTATAAATCAAAATATTGCACCTCTCCTAATGATAAAGAAAGTGTTAATCAAGTTTGACTTCAACCTATGCAGTAGTTTTGAAGATATAGATCGCACACAAAATTGAAAGACGGTAGGACGGAATTCCTTGGTATAACTATATTACCCCGACCTTTTAGGTCGGAGGTATAATAATACAAGAGGACAGTTACACAAACACAGGACAAATACTGCTACATGATCAGCGCGATGAAAAACAACATAATGTTGCAAACATTCAGCTGTTGTGTCAATCCTGATAAACAGCAAAACATGTGAAATCATGATGGGCTTTAGAAAATAATTTTGATGAGGATCTGTATATGCAGTTTGGTAGTTCCAAAATGGACACAAAGGAGAGAGAGAGTTGAATTCATATGGATCCGACGCTGCCTTAAACACTTCAGGGCAGTTGACGTTGCCGTGAAGATAAGCACTAGCATACAGTGTCACACGTTCTTCGTTGCAGAACACTATGGATCATTTTTGAGTAACGAAACGGCTCATTAGCTTGGAAGGGAAAATATCATCAAACATGTACACACACCAATAGATAAGTATCTAGAGTCCAGAGCAACACAACACGGCTTTTCACCGTCGTGGAAAGGTGGAGAAAGATCTCAAAAAGTTAATTGAGGCGGACATTATGCAATAGGGTGGAAGGTGAAGCTTTCACATAGCCTATAGTTACACCACCAAAAAGGAACAGTGACAAGACTTATAAACGGGAGAAACATCATAGTCCTACGAAAATCACTCATAACTGAAACAGTGCAAAGGTCTTCTGCAAATTGAAAATCAGGGCCGGGCTTCCTCAAATACAATTACATCTAGAATTCCGGCAAATCACAACGTTTACTACACACATGGGATTGCACCGCTACAAGAGAGACAGCCTTGGAGTAACATCTGCCTCAGAAGTGTTTCACGAAGAGATGATCAATCATCAGAGACATTCCAAACCTAAAAAACAGCAGCGACGATATAATCATCTATGGCAAAACATGATGTTTTTGAAAGCAATTTTGTCAATACATACTTCGATCTCCAAACTACACAGAGATTGTTGACTCTAGTCCACGTAGACTCATTTTGACACAGGGCTACCAGGGGTTTAAAATGGCAACTGGGTTTCAATAGATACAGAATCAAATAGCAATAGAAGCACATGCTGTGGTGTTGTCCTTCAAGCCAAAACATGTTGGCAGAGAGTGAGTGAGTGTGTTGGGTTTAACGCCGCTTTTAACATTATTCCAGTCATATCGCGGCGTGTCAGCATAATGTGGGAGGAAAGCCGAAGTGATGCAGGTTTCAGACGTTTACCACTTATGTGAAACCCACGAGCACGGGTATGGTACTGACAAACCTAGAAACATAATTTGGGCCAACCGGGATTCGAACCCAAAATCATAGGTTTCTGGCGTGCCCAAGGGACGCAACTCTGCACAGCGAATCGCGGCGCCTTAGACGACTGGGCCACATGTGGCCCCTACATGTTTGTGGAGAACTACATTTCACAATAATCACAGACCATCAACACCTTGAACACATATGGCAGAAATCAAAAGCACAACAATGCTAAGAGCGATAGGAATGGATGATTCAACCCTATTAGATGACAACCCAGCAGACTACTTGTCCAGGCATTCACAACCGCAGGGTGCTGAAGTGCCCAAGAGATTGTAGTAGGTGTAGTGAGATGTCTCGCATGCCCGAGAAGATGTGGGATAATCTCGGCGCAGATTTATGGTAATCAGTGGTCACACCACGGTTAGTAACAAATGCCCCATAGATCAAGTAATTAAGTCTTTGTACCTATCGCTTTCTACCAAAATTTCAAAGAGCTTCTACTGACTCTAGCTTAGAGTTTTGTGATCAAGGGTACAACATTCAAGGCCTCAGTAGAGCTTTCAAAAACATGTCATTACATCCATATGTCACTACTGTTTATACAAGTCGAATACAATCATTTTAGTTCAACTGCATTTAACGCTATGAGAAAGATAGTATTTTTTTCTCCAAGATCCTCATTTTAATGCAAAGGATTGAGTGATTTTCGGAATTGAAGTGTAAGTGGACACAAATAGAATCGTTACATTCAATACCAGAGATTACGTGTCAATGTAACATGGCAGTTTTTCAAGGGTTAATGCAGTAGTATTTTAGCTGTAAAGTCGGATTTGTAAGTAAAGTCAGATATGTAAGTAAAACACGTTCTCACAATTGAACAAATCATACATGTTGTTGGTGTTCAACGAACAAATACTTCTTTCAAACTGATTAATGAAATATGACAGAGCAGATCCTGAGAATGAATCAAGTTAACTCAAATATTTCCTCAAAAGAAGATCTCCAATTGGTAAAACATGGTGACAATTTCAGATGGGCTTGACTTTCCTACTTAAACATAGTGGGTGGACTTTAACACAGTCAACTGCATATCTATTTAAACCACTTACGTTGAAGGGTCGTTGTTGCTAGTGTCGTTGTTGTTGCTAAAGTAAGGGCATCTGAAACAGTACAATTGTTGTCCTGAAAATACAGCTCTATTAAAGAAATAGAGTTTGCTCAACCGCCATGTACAGTTTAATAAGAATAGTTTTGCTGTGTACTATTATAGTTAAAGCACGAATGCACTTTCACCTGTATGCTTTGACGTTATAATAGTACAGGGCAAAACTATTCTTTGTTACAATATACATGGGGCTAGAGAAAACTTGATTACTTTTCTAAGATGCTGAAATTAAGACTCACCTTGTGTTTTATTAGAGGTTTACAAAGAATCCTGTAATAAGCGGTGCACTAAAATTAACGAACCGGGCTAACTGGCGGACTGTTACACCTAATTGCCTGCACCCTTACGTCTAGAGGCATATTTCTGTTTTAAACGCAACACAACACAAATAGAATGAGTTGTTTATTATTTAAATAGGTCCCACTTCATTATTCATTCAATGTGTGGTTGTCCATAAACACATGCAACAATAAGACTTTTTAAAGCCATGAAACAGTGTGCTTACCAAGCTGCTTGCGCAATATAGTACCGTTACCCGTAAACAAATGTCAATCCACGACCAGTGGCTTGTGCAACAGATGTCACCATGGGACAAAACATGGCATAGGAAGAGCAATAGCAGCTGTTTTGTTTGACTTGTGTATATTGCTAAAGGCCGTATGCTGATCAACAAGTGAACATGTGGCTATGAAACATTTCAAGGATTGCTCATTCCTTTGTCTTGAGAGACATACATAATTCGTAGCGCACAAACACCCTCCTCCTACAAGTCTTTTAATCTTAAAATGAAAAACATACCAGCCGACATATAAAGTATCCTTACGATTCACAATATGGCCAACACAAAGAACAATTATCGACAGGTTAATACATACAAACTAGAATTATGGCAAATTATATTATATTCGAAAACAATTGCTGTTTAATGACAATCAGTTTTTTGAAGTTCGCAAAATGACTTCCTTGACAGTTGGAACATAAAGGAGCAGATATTTACAAGTATTCTACATGTTTGTACGAATCGTTTTGCTTTCCTCTAAAATTACTAACATTTCCTTGATCACAGGATCCTAAAAAAACAAATCTGAAAATGGAAATGGACTTCCGACATCTATTTCTTCACATCATCAACCTTCCTTTGCGATTAACAGAAAATAGGTCACTCCCTAAGAAGAATGGCTATGTTTGGAGGTCAAACGAGGTCAGAATACTTACCGATACAGCAAACCTGACCACTTGAACACTGGCGACTAGGAATAATTCCAAAGGAGTTACAGTTACCAGCAACAGTACATGAGATTCCGGCACCAGTGCAGGCTGAAAGAAAACGTTCATCAAAGGAAAAAAATCTGTTTTCTTTTTCTTTGATGGAATGTCCTTTTCATATTTTGTCACTAATGTGGTGATCATGTACACTTTTTTTTTTTTTTGATGTAGTCCCACTTTATTTAAATTTAGAACCAAGCACTTAAGCATTCAGCTGAAAACGTGGTGTATTCAGAAGGCAATTAAAAAGATATGCCTAAATTGAAACCATTTACTAATAATGATACCCATATCTGAATTACCACAGTGTCTATTTTCTGGATTCTTTAAGTAACAATTGCATGTCAAGCCATCCGAAAAATATGTCCATCTACTATGACAGAGCAGATCCTGAGAATGAAACAAGTTAACTCAAATATTTCCACGAAAGAAGATCTCCATTTGGAAAAACATGGTGACAAATTCAGAAGGGCTTGACTTTCCGACTTAAACATAGTCGGTGGACTTTACCACAGTCGACTGCATATTAATTCATACCACTTACGTTGAAGGGTCGTTGTTGCTAAGGTCGTTGTTGTTGCTAAAGTAAGGGCGTCTGAAACAGTACAATTGATGTCGTGAAAATACAGGTCTATTTAAGAATTAAAGTTTGCTCTATCCACATGTACAGTTTAATAAGTATATGTTTGCCATGAACTGTTATAGTTAAAGCACGAGTTCAGATGCACCTGAGTGCTTTGACGTTATAATAGTATAGGGCAAAACTATTCTTTGTTACAATATACATGGGGGTAGAGCAAACTTGATTACTTTTCTAAGATGCTAAAATTAAGACCCACCTTGTGTTTTATTAGAGATGGGTTTACAAAGAATCCTGTATTGAGCTGTGCACTATAATCGACGAACAGGGCTAACTGACGGGATGTTCCACCTAATTGCCTGCACCCTTACGTCTAGAGGCATATTTACGTTTTAAAGACAACACAACACAACACAACACCACTAGAATGGGTTGTTTATTATATAAATAGGTCCCACTTCATTATTCATTCAATGTGTGGTTGTCCATAAACTCATGCAGCAATAAGACTTTTTCCAATTTAATTTTTTATATTAATTTCCTTCAATTTCATGTAACTCGAAACATTCCACAAGTGCACTGTGTGGTTGAGCTAACATGTAAACATAGCTGAAGTTCGGTGTTGCTGGTTATTTTGAGTTGAGTTGATTTGTACAAGTTTCAACTTTGTTTTCGCCACTAATGTTAGCAGACTGCAGCAACTGCAAGCCATCAAACAGTTTGCTTACCAAGCTGCTTGTGCAACATGATACCGTTACCCGTACACCAACGTCAATTCACGACCAGTGGCTTGTGATATGAAGTCACCATGGGACGAACATGGCATAGGAAGAGCAACAGCAACTGTTTTGTTTGACTTGTGTATATTGCTAAAGGCCGTATGCTGATCAACAAGTGAACATGTGGCTATGAAACATTTCAAGGATTGCTCATTCCTTTGTCTTGAAAGACATACATAATTCGTAGCGCACACACACCCGCCTCGGACAAGTCTTTTACTCATAAGGTGAAAAACATACCAGCTGACATATAACACGTCCTTACGATTCACAGGGGGCATGGGTGGCCCAGTCGCCTAAGGCGCCGCGATTCGCTGTGCCGGGTTGCGTCCCTTGGACAGGCCAAAAACTTATGATTGTGGGTTCGAATCCCGGTTCGCCCAAATTATGTTTCTAGGTTTGTCAGTACCATACCGGTGCTCGTGGGTTTCACATAAGTGGTAAACGTCTGAAACCTGCATCACTTCGGGCTTTCCTCCCACATTAAGCTGACAAGCCGTGATATAACTGGAATACTGTTAAAAGTGGCGTTTAAACCCAACTCACTCACTCACTCATTTACGATTCACAATATGGCCAACACAAAGAACGAATATAGACAGGTTTATACATACATACTAGAAATATCGCACATTTTATTATATTCAAAAACAATTGCTGATGAATGACAATCAGTTTTTGGAGGTTCTCAAAATGACTTCCTAGACATTCGGAACATTAAGGAGCAGATATTTACAAGTATTCTACATAATTGTATGGATCGTTTTGCTTTCCTCTAAAACTATTCTCCATTCTTTAAACAATTGATCATAAAAACACAAATCTGAAAATGGAAATGGAGTCCCGACATCTTATTCTTCTCATCATCAACCTTCCTTTGCGATTAACAGAAAATAGGCTATGCCCTAAGAAGAATGGCTATGTTTGGAGGTCAAACGAGGTCAGAATACTTACCGATACAGCAAACCTGACCACTTGGACACTGGCGACTAGGAATAATTCCAAAGGTGTTACAGTTACCAGCAACAGTACATGAGATTCCGGCACCAGTGCAGGCTGAAAGAAAACGTTCGTCAAAGGAAAAAAATCTGTTTTCTTGTTCTTTGATGGAATGTCCTTTTCATATTTTGTCACTAATGTGGTGATCATGTACACTTTTTAAAATAAAACAGTTAGGCGATAATCCTACTGTGTTTTGAAATTTGATGTAGTCCCACTGTAGAATAGATACCTCTTTATTTAAATTTAGAACCAAGCGCTTTAGCATTCAGCTGAAAACGTGGTATATTCAGAAGGCAATTAAAAAGATATGCCTAAATTGAAACCATTTACTAATAATGATACCCATATCTGAATTACCACAGTGTCTATTTTCTGGATTGTTTAAGTAACAATTGCATGTCAAGCCATCCGAAAAATATGTCTATCTACTTTGACAGAGCAGATCCTGAGAATGAATCAAGTTAACTCAAATATTTCCTCAAAAGAAGATCTCCAATTGGAAAAACATGGTGACAAATTCAGAAGGGCTTGACTTTCCGACTTAAACATAGTCGGTGGACTTTACCACAGTCGACTGCATATTAATTCATACCACTTACGTTGAAGGGTCGTTGTTGCTAAGGTCGTTGTTGTTGCTAAAGTTAGGGCATCTGAAACAGTACAATTCATGTCGTGAAAATACAATTCTATTTCAGAAATAAAGTTTGCCCTAACCCAACGTACAGTTTAATGAGTATATTTTTGCCGTGAACTATTATAGTTAAAGCACGAGTGCACTTGCACCTGAGTGCTTTGACGTTATAATAGTTCAGGGCCAAACTATTCTTTGTTACAATATACATGGGGATAGAGCAAACTTGATTACTTTTCTAAGATGCTGAGATTAAGACTCACCTTGTGTTTCATTTGAGATGGGTTTAAAAAGAATCCTGGAATGAGCTGTGCACTAAAATCAACGAACAGGGCTAACTGGCGGACTGTTCCACCTAATTGCCTGCACCCTTATGTCAAGGGGCATATTAACGTTTTAAACACAACACAACACAACACAACACCACTAGAATGGGTTGTTTATTATTTAAATAGGTCCCACTTCATTATTCATGCAATATGTGGTTGTCCATAAACTCATGCAGCAATAAGACTTTTAATTACTTTCAAGTTTTTATATTAAAATGTTTCAGTTTTATGCGACTCGAAACATTTCACAAGTGCACTGTGTGGTTGAGCTAACATGGAAACATAGCCAAAGTTCGGTGTTGCTGGTTATGTTTAGTTGAGTTGATTTGTACAAGTTGCAACTTCGTTTTCGCCACTAATGTTAGCAGACTGCAGCAACTGCCAGCCATCAAACAGTGTGCTTACCAAGCTGCTTGCGCAACATGGTGTCGTAACCCGTAAACCAGCGTCAATCATCGACCAGTGGCTTGTGATATGATGTCACCATGGGACAAAACATGGCATAGGAAGAGCAATAGCAGCTGTTTTGATTGACTTGTGTATATTGCCGAAGGACGTATGCTGATCAACAAGTGAACATGTGGCTTTGAAACTTTTCAAGGATTGCTCATTCCTTTGTCTTGAGAGGCATGCATAATTCGTAGGGCAAAAACAACTGCCTCAGACAAGTCTTTTACTCTTAAAGTGAAAAACATACCAGCTGACATATAACGTATATCCTTACTACTCACAATATGGCCTACACAAAGAACAAATATAGACAGGTTTATACATACATACTAGAAATATGGCAAAGTTTATTATATTCGAAAGCAATTGCTGTTTAATGACAATCAGGTTTTGGAAGTTCTCTAAAATGACTTCCTTGACAGTAGGAACATTTAGGAGCAGACATTTACAAGTATTCTACATGTTTGTATGGATCGTTTTGCTTTCCTCTAAAATTATTCACAATTCCTTGATCACAGGATCATAAAAAAACAAATTCGAAAATGGAAATGGACGTCCGACATCTATTTCTTCACATCATCAACCTTCCTTTGCGATTAACAGAAAATAGGCTACGCCCTAAGATATGAGGTGAAATGGGGTTTAACGTCGCGACCAAGATTATTACGCCCTAAGAAGAATGATATGTTTTGAGGTCAAACGAGGTCAGAATACTTACCGACACAGCAAACCTGACCACTTGGACACTGGCGACTAGGGATGATTCCAAAGGTGTTACAGTTACCAGCAACAGTACATGAGATTCCGGCACCAGTGCAGGCTGAAAGAAAACGTTCATCAAAGGAAATAGATCTGTTTTCTTGTTCTTTGATGGAATGTCCTTTTCATATTTTGTCACTTATGTGTTAAGAATGTACACTTCTTCACAAAAAAACAAGAGATTACATCATCTGTTCTTTAGTTTTCAGATGACTCCCTTTTAAAAATGTCAAAGCTACATAAGGCTTTCGAATGAATGTTCATAAGAACCTTCTTGGGAATGTGAAGAAAAACTCGAAAGCCCTATATTTTTATATGCACTACCGTGCCTGAAGAATGATCATCAGAACTTTTGTTAGAATTATGGGACTCTTATATTCATGCTGGGCTTTAATATTATATTTTTCAACTCGTGAAGATCCGGGCTAAAATAGCTCTTCTGCAACCCATGTTTGCCGTAAAAGATGACTATAATAGTCACAAGAGGCGACGAAAGGGATCTGGGGGTCAGACTCGCTGACTTTGTTGATGCATGTCATCGTGTCCCAATTGCGTTGATCGATGCTCATGATATCAATCACTAGATTGTCCGTTAGAGACTCGATTATTTACAGACAGTGGTCATATAGCTGCAATATTGCTGAGTGTGGCATTAAGCAAGAAACAAACAAATATTATATTTTTGTGCATTCAGCTGAAAAACTGGTATATTCAGAGTGCAATTAAAAGTATATGCACAGATTGAAACCATTTACTGATAATGATACTTCTTTCTGAATTACTACAGTTTCTATTTACTGGATTGTTTAAGTAACAATTGCATGTCAAGCTATCCGAGAAATATGTCCATCTACTATGACAGAGCAGATCCTGAGAATGAATCAAGTTAACTCAAATATTTCCACAAAAGGAGATCTCCCTTGGGGAAAACATGGTGACAAAGTCAGAAGGGCTTGACTTTCCTCCTTAAACATAGTCGGTGGACTTTACCATAGTCGACTGCATATTAATTCATACCACTTACGTTGAAGGGTCGTTGTTGCTAAGGTCGTTGTTGTTGCTAAAGTTAGGGCATCTGAAACAGTACAATTGATATCATGACAATACAGCTCCATTTAAGATATAAAGTTTGCACTACCCCCATGTACAGTTTAATAAGTATAGTGTTGCAATCAACTGTAATAGTAAAAGCACGTGTGCACTTGTACCTGAGTGCTTTGACGTTATAATAGTTCAGGGCCAAACTATTCTTTGTTACAATATACATGGGGGTAGAGCAAACTTGATTACTTTTCTAAGATGCTATAGTTAAGACTCACCTTGTGTTTTATTAGAGATGGGTTTACAAAGAATCCTGGAATGAGCTGTGCACTAAAATCAACGAACAGGGCCAACTGGCGGACCGTTCCACCTAATTGCCTGCACCCTTATGTCAAGGGGCATATTAACGTTTTAAACACAACACAACACAACACAACACCACTAGAATGGGTTGTTTATTATTTAAATAGGTCCCACTTCATTATTCATGCAATATGTGGTTGTCCATAAACTCATGCAGCAATAAGACTTTTAATTACTTTTAAGTTTTTATATTAAAATGCTTCAGTTTTACGCGACTCGAAACATTTCACAAGTGCTGTGTGTGGTTGAGCTAACATGGAAACATAGCCGAAGTTCGGTGTTGCTGGTTATGTTTAGTTGAGTTGATTTGTACAAGTTGCACCTTTGTTTTCGCCACTAATGTTAGCAGACTGCAGGAACTGCCAGCCATCAAACAGTGTGCTTACCAAGCTGCTTGCGCAACATGGTGCCGTAACCCGTAAACCAACGTCAATCATCGACCAATGGCTTGTGATATGATGTCACCATGGGACAAACATGGCATAGGAAGAGCAATAGCAGCTGTTTTGTTTGACTTGTGTATATTGCCGAAGGACGTATGCTGATCAACAAGTGAACATGTGGCTTTGAAACTTCAAGGATTGCTCATTCCTTTGTCTTGAAAGGCATGCATAATTCGTAGGGCAAAAACAACTGCCTCAGACAAGTCTTTTACTCTTAAAGTGAAAACATACCAGCTGACATATAACGTATATCCTTACTACTCACAATATGGCCTACACAAAGAACAAATATAGACAGGTTTATACATACATACTAGAAATATGGCAAAGTTTATTATATTCGAAAGCAATTGCTGTTTAATGACAATCAGGTTTTGGAAGTTCTCTTAAATGACTTCCTTGACAGTAAGAACATTTAGGAGCAGACATTTACAAGTATTCTACATGTTTGTATGGATCGTTTTGCTTTCCTCTAAAATTATTCACAATTCCTTGATCACAGGATCATTAAAAAAACAAATTCGAAAATGGAAATGGACTTCCGACATCTATTTCTACACATCATCAACCTTCCTTTGCGATTAACAGAAAATAGGCTACGCCCTAAGAAGAAGAATATGTTTTGAGGTCAAACGAGGTCAGAATACTTACCGACACAGCAAACCTGACCACTTGGACACTGGCGACTAGGAATAATTCCAAAGGTGTTACAGTTACCAGCAACAGTACATGAGATTCCCGCACCAGTGCAGGCTGAAAGAAAACGTTCATCAAAGGAAATAGATCTGTTTTCTTGTTCTTTGGTGGAATGTCCTTTTCATATTTTGTCACTTATGTGTTAAGAATGTACACTTCTTCACAAAAAAACAAGAGATTACATCATCTGTTCTTTAGTTTTCAGATGACTCCCTTTTAAAAATGTCAAAGCTACATAAGGCTTTCGAATGAATGTTCATAAGAACCTTCTTGGGAATGTGAAGAAAAACTCGAAAGCCCTATATTTTTATATGCACTACCGTGCCTGAAGAATGATCATCAGAACTTTTGTTAGAATTATGGGACTCTTATATTCATGCTGGGCTTTAATATTATATTTTTCAACTCGTGAAGATCCGGGCTAAAATAGCTCTTCTGCAACCCATGTTTGCCGTAAAAGATGACTATAATAGTCACAAGAGGCGACGAAAGGGATCTGGGGGTCAGACTCGCTGACTTTGTTGATGCATGTCATCGTGTCCCAATTGCGTTGATTGATGCTCATGATATCAATCACTGGATTGTCCGGTAGAGACTCGATTATTTACAGACAGTGGTCATATAGCTGCAATATTGCTGAGTGTGGCATTAAGCAAGAAACAAACAAATATTATATTTTTGTGCATTCAGCTGAAAAACTGGTATATTCAGAGTGCAATTAAAAGTATATGCACAGATTGAAACCATTTACTGATAATGATACTTCTTTCTGAATTACTACAGTTTCTATTTACTGGATTGTTTAAGTAACAATTGCATGTCAAGCTATCCGAGAAATATGTCCATCTACTATGACAGAGCAGATCCTGAGAATGAATCAAGTTAACTCAAATATTTCCACAAAAGGAGATCTCTCTTGGGGAAAACATGGTGACAAAGTCAGAAGGGCTTGACTTTCCTCCTTAAACATAGTCGGTGGACTTTACCATAGTCGACTGCATATTAATTCATACCACTTACGTTGAAGGGTCGTTGTTGCTAAGGTCGTTGTTGTTGCTAAAGTTAGGGCATCTGAAACAGTACAATTGATGTCATGACAATACAGCTCCATTTAAGATATAAAGTTTGCACTACCCCCATGTACAGTTTAATAAGTATAGTGTTGCAATCAACTGTAATAGTAAAAGCACGTGTGCACTTGTACCTGAGTGCTTTGACGTTATAATAGTTCAGGGCCAAACTATTCTTTGTTACAATATACATGGGGGTAGAGCAAACTTGATTACTTTTCTAAGATGCTATAGTTAAGACTCACCTTGTGTTTTATTAGAGATGGGTTTACAAAGAATCCTGGAATGAGCTGTGCACTAAAATCAACGAACAGGGCTAACTGGCGGACCGTTCCACCTAATTGCCTGCACCCTTATGTCAAGGGGCATATTAACGTTTTAAACACAACACAACACAACACAACACCACTAGAATGGGTTGTTTATTATTTAAATAGGTCCCACTTCATTATTCATGCAATATGTGGTTGTCCATAAACTCATGCAGCAATAAGACTTTTAATTACTTTTAAGTTTTTATATTAAAATGCTTCAGTTTTATGCGACTCGAAACATTTCACAAGTGCTGTGTGTGGTTGAGCTAACATGGAAACATAGCCAAAGTTCGGTGTTGCTGGTTATGTTTAGTTGAGTTGATTTGTACAAGTTGCACCTTTGTTTTCGCCACTAATGTTAGCAGACTGCAGCAACTGCCAGCCATCAAACAGTGTGCTTACCAAGCTGCTTGCGCAACATGGTGTCGTAACCCGTAAACCAACGTCAATCATCGACCAGTGGCTTGTGATATGATGTCACCATGGGACAAACATGGCATAGGAAGAGCAATAGCAGCTGTTTTGTTTGACTTGTGTATATTGCCGAAGGACGTATGCTGATCAACAAGTGAACATGTGGCTTTGAAACTTCAAGGATTGCTCATTCCTTTGTCTTGAAAGGCATGCATAATTCGTAGGGCAAAAACAACTGCCTCAGACAAGTCTTTTACTCTTAAAGTGAAAACATACCAGCTGACATATAACGTATATCCTTACTACTCACAATATGGCCTACACAAAGAACAAATATAGACAGGTTTATACATACATACTAGAAATATGGCAAAGTTTATTATATTCGAAAGCAATTGCTGTTTAATGACAATCAGGTTTTGGAAGTTCTCTTAAATGACTTCCTTGACAGTAAGAACATTTAGGAGCAGACATTTACAAGTATTCTACATGTTTGTATGGATCGTTTTGCTTTCCTCTAAAATTATTCACAATTCCTTGATCACAGGATCATTAAAAAAACAAATTCGAAAATGGAAATGGACTTCCGACATCTATTTCTACACATCATCAACCTTCCTTTGCGATTAACAGAAAATAGGCTACGCCCTAAGAAGAAGAATATGTTTTGAGGTCAAACGAGGTCAGAATACTTACCGACACAGCAAACCTGACCACTTGGACACTGGCGACTAGGAATAATTCCAAAGGTGTTACAGTTACCAGCAACAGTACATGAGATTCCGGCACCAGTGCAGGCTGAAAGAAAACGTTCATCAAAGGAAATAGATCTGTTTTCTTGTTCTTTGATGGAATGTCCTTTTCATATTTTGTCACTTATGTGTTAAGAATGTACACTTCTTCACAAAAAAACAAGAGATTACATCATCTGTTCTTTAGTTTTCAGATGACTCCCTTTTAAAAATGTCAAAGCTACATAAGGCTTTCGAATGAATGTTCATAAGAACCTTCTTGGGAATGTGAAGAAAAACTCGAAAGCCCTATATTTTTATATGCACTACCGTGCCTGAAGAATGATCATCAGAACTTTTGTTAGAATTATGGGACTCTTATATTCATGCTGGGCTTTAATATTATATTTTTCAACTCGTGAAGATCCGGGCTAAAATAGCTCTTCTGCAACCCATGTTTGCCGTAAAAGATGACTATAATAGTCACAAGAGGCGACGAAAGGGATCTGGGGGTCAGACTCGCTGACTTTGTTGATGCATGTCATCGTGTCCCAATTGCGTTGATCGATGCTCATGATATCAATCACTGGATTGTCCGGTAGAGACTCGATTATTTACAGACAGTGGTCATATAGCTGCAATATTGCTGAGTGTGGCATTAAGCAAGAAACAAACAAATATTATATTTTTGTGCATTCAGCTGAAAAACTGGTATATTCAGAGTGCAATTAAAAGTATATGCACAGATTGAAACCATTTACTGATAATGATACCTCTTTCTGAATTACTACAGTTTCTATTTACTGGATTGTTTAAGTAACAATTGCATGTCAAGCTATCCGAGAAATATGCCCATCTACTATTAATCAAGTTAACTCAAATATTTCCACAAAAGAAGATCTCTCTTGGGAGAAACATGGTGACAAAGTCAGACAGGCTTGACTTTCCTACTTAAACATTGTCGGTGGACTTTACCATAGTCGACTGCATATTAATTCATACCACTTACGTTGAAGGGTCGTTGTTGCTAAGGTCGTTGTTGTTGCTAAAGTAAGGGCATCTGAAACAGTACAATTGATGTCATGACAATACAGCTCCATTTAAGATATAAAGTTTGCACTACCCCCATGTACAGTTTAATAAGTATAGTTTTGCAATCAACTGTAATAGTAAAAGCACGTGTGCACTTGTACCTGAGTGCTTTGACGTTATAATAGTTCAGGGCCAAACTATTCTTTGTTACAATATACATGGGGGTAGAGCAAACTTGATTACTTTTCTGATATGCTGAAATTAAAACTCACCATGTGTTTATTAGAGATGGGTTCAAAAAGAATCTTGTAATGAGTGGTGCACTAAAATCAACGAACAGGGCTAACTGACGGGCTGTTCCACCTAATTGCCTCCACCCTTACATCTCGAGGCATTTTTACGTTTGAAACACAACACAACACCACTAGAATTGGTTGTTTATTATTTAAATAGGTCCCACGTCATCATTAGTCACTCAATGCGTGGTTGTCCGTAAACACATGCAGCAATAAGACTTTTTAAAATGTAAGTTTTTATATTAAAATGCTTCAGTTTTATGTGATTCGAAACATTCCATACGTGCATTGGGTGGTTCAGCTAACATGTAAACATAGCCGAAGTTCTCTGTTGCTGGTTATTTTGAGTTGTGTTGATTTGTACAAGTTGCAACTTTGTTTTTTAGCCACTAATGTTAGCAGACTGCAGCAACAGCAAGCCAAGAAACAGTGTGCTTACCAAGCTGCTTGCGCAACATGGTACCGTAACCTGTAAACCAACGTCAATCCACGACTAGTGGCTTGTGATATGATGTCACCATAGGACGAACATGGCATAGGAAGAGCAACATTAGTTGTTTTGTTTGACTTGTGGATATTGCTGAAGGCCGTATGCTGATCAACAAGTGAACATGTGGCTATGAAAGTTTTTAAGGATTGCTCATTCCTTTGTCTTGAGAACATACATAATTCGTAGGGCACAATCACCCGCCTCGGACAAGTCTTTTACTCTTAAAGTGAAAAACATACCAGCTGACATATAACGTATCCTTACGATTCACAATATGGCCAACACAAAGAACAAATATAGACAGGTTTATTGACCTTTTACACACTTCGCTACTTCCGGTTTGAAAGCGAGGCTTTGAGAGCAGAAGGTGAAGGCTGGATAGCACATGAAACACATGGAGATGTCGACAAGGCACGCAATCGGGACAAACTGTGACAATTTAACCTTCCTGGTACATTTATCGTAAATATTGAAAATTGTTCTTAATCTTATCATTAACAAACTATTCAACTGTTATCTGGTCTCCTTACCGATGTAAATTTGAGTCTCGCCATTCTGTTGTGATTTCATTTTAAAATATCCATGACCACCTGGTAACTCCCAGTGCAGTTTATGGTAGCTGAACAGACTTAATACAAATGCTACTGAGATCTTGTAAGAATTATTCATTGTTTACAGAACATTAAGCCAAACTATTTATTGTGAGTTTAAATAACTTTGCGGGTTGTATTTGAAGTCGAAATATTGACCTTTTGACCATATCTAGATATATGTCAGAAACTAACTAAATTGATATGTTGATATAATGTATCAAATTGTAACCTACTGAGAATTTACAATCGTAACAAATCAGAATTTAACATCAGTTGCGTATTTGATGTAAATTGTAATGGACTCCAATAAAAAAATTAGACCTCTAGATCTACTTGTGCTGTCCATATTGTGAAAGTTGTTATTTTGATTCTCAATGTTGACAGATTAGATACCATGATGTGTAATATTTCAACTGAATTATTACATAAAAGGTGTTTAAATATTTGAAGTATAGTACAGTTTGATCTGCAATTTTGTTAACAATATTTCTATCAAAATTATATTTACTTTACTGTACCAAATTAATTATGTCATGAAATGAACAAAACCCCGCTAATTTATGGCCAGTAAATGTTCAATCTACATGTGATCTTTATATAATTTACACAAACAGATAACTCTTTAACAGTTTGTATTCAAATATTTCATATGCATAAAATGATATTGACATTACTATAAACTTCAAGTATAAAGAGAATTATTTTTAATTCCAATGCGTATTGCAATCATAACTCATTTATTCTCTTTGTTTAATTGTGGAAACCATCTGGCTTTATGTCCACAAACATGTTTTGAAACTTTAAAAAGAAAATGATTTCTTTTGTGTAAGCAATTGCCATGTATTATTAATTATTAATCATATCAATTTATATGTAAGAATATAGATGTGCTTACTGTGTCATTTTGCAATAATTATATTGTTATGATGTTATGCTTTACTATTGTTAACAATCTTTAGAACTTTAGTTTATTTCAATCAAGTCTAGTGGTGTGATCATTTTTATAATTTTTATAATTCAATCAAAACGAGAAATTAAATAAAAAATAAATACAAGGAAGAAATTTGTTTTCCTTGTCAAATAACGATGATAGCATGAATTTATATCATATTGTGATGTGACAAAGTTACTATTTTCAAGTCACGATATCAACTTTAGTAAACAACAAGAAGAGATAAACGTTTTATTTGACAAAATAAATCCAAGTCTTATATTTTCTTTGTGATCTTCATGACCTTACCATAGTGTCAATGATGCAGACTGACTGTAGGGATGACAAAACGTGATATTTTACTGATTTCAATAAAAATCTTATTTTTTTCACTCTAGTGAAAGTATGTTTTCAGCATGGTCAGACTAAACAAAGTATGTCATGATTAAATACATACCGGTAATACAAATATCAAAACGTGTTTCATTAAAACAAGAAGCTTTCTGCTGACAGTAACACACTGGTTACAATGTGCGTCCTGTCAAAGGACGAGGAAGTGAAAAGCCATTTTCTTTCAATCATCAAATGTGTTTCCTGTCACATTTCACTTAAATAGGACGAGGAAGTGAAAAACCTTATTCACTCACAAAACAACATGGCCAATATTTATCAGACACCAAAATAGGACATTGTACCATTTGTTTACAAGCAAGAAATTTATTTTCTCCTGGAATTGAATCAGGTGCTTTTGACTGACAAAGACACCCGGTCCATGTTAAGTTTTGAAAACTTATATTGTGAGAAATAAAGACATGAAAATTTCGGTTTGTGTTTCTTTGTTAAATATAAAAAATCCAGATTGTTCCATCAACATAATTTTTACGATACATATATTTTATCTTGGCTCGATTACCAATTGAAGTTGATTCTTTTTTATCTTTTGTTATTTTAACTGTACTCATATCTGATCAAGACATTTTCAAAATATTCAGGATAAATGTATTGGTAGCTTCCTTTTGATATACAATTACCTATCATCATACAGGGTTAGGTGAGGGTGTTCAAGAAGTTGGTGGTTGTATCAATTCTTATATTTCTTCAATTTCATGCATTATTTATATTTATCAATTTTTAGTTTCCTTTTAACTTATTTTAAACAGTTCACACATTATTACTTTTGTCGTGCACGGTGCAATCTCAATCGGCAATAATCAGTTAAGTAAGTGATGTTTGAAGAACAAGTAAAGTATCATCTGTCATTGTACACACTGAATAGAGTTATCGCCCCTTCTGAATATTTATTTTGACACACGAATTATTTGGTGAACTAATTTCATTTACATCGTAATATGTTAAGATGAAACTCATAGCAGAAAAAGTGTCTTTTGTCAACTGGACTCATGGCAAAACGATAGTGCGTTGTGCAGCAAACACCACTATGAAACGTGAAATAAATATGATCGACGATCTCGAGTTCGCCAAGCCACACACTGACTGAGCAAATTTGCAAAAGTACACTGACGTGTTTCATGTCATGCGGTTCATTTGCAATACAAAACTTCTGTCATTGAACGTACTGTCACATATTGTACCTATATGCCGACGAGGTTATGATAAAACAATCTATTTCTGAAATACGTATCTCGAAATGCACCTTTCGATTCACATCCGGGATCCTGACAGCAAAATGCTAATACCAGTGTATTACAGGCATATTTTAGTTGG